TCCTTGGAAATTAGAAAAATATACAGTACTATACAAGTATACATGTTCTACTGCATAGCCTATAATATATAATCTTACAGAGAAAAAATGAATCAAGGGAAATAATTCCTGCAAGATCTGTTAGATTTAATCTCCTTGAATGTTATTTCCAGCTTGATTTCATATCTTTTTACGTTCCTTAGACTTGTTGTTTAATTATGTTAGTTTATTTGTACCATTTTCACACTCGGGTGGATAGATGTAACTAGTGGTGGTTCCAAGGGGGGGGCTACACGGGCTAAAGCCCCCCCCCCTTACGATTTATGTCAAGAAATCGCTACTATAAATTATGTTTTGATGTAGATTGCTTAAGTAATCATTCAAAACACACTTGTTAAAAGTTTTATTTGTTACAAAAAGGTTCACTCAAGCATGAGCCCAAACAAGAGGGTACGGTAAGTTTCACCTAATTAAAAAAATATATATTTATTTAACAATAGATTTTTAGTATTTTTGTTTAACAATTTAATTAAAACGTTTTTATTAGCTCGCTTTCTTGTCCGGTACAAATGTTGCAATAAATTTTAAGCTAACTTCCTGATGAGCTAGAGACTTGAAACATAGCTCACAAATTGATGACAATGCAATACTATATAATTTTATTTTCATTCCCTAGGGCTAAGCACCAAGGGCTTCCAAATTTTCCATGTTTACATTTTGAAAGAATGTAAATATGTCAATTGAAGTCAGCTGTAACACAGAAAACATATTACTATAACCCAGAATGCCAACCGCATGGTAAAAAGCATTAAGTGTTTTGAGAGAGCTTTGCCTGTCAATCGTACACAGCGCCACCAGCGTTGCCATGCACTCAACATAGCAACGCTGGTGGCGCTGCCTACGGTTGACAGGCAAAGCTCTCCTAAAACACTTAATGCTTATTACCATGCGGTTGGCATTCTGGGTTATAGTAATATGTTTTCTGTGGCTGTAAATACTTAAATTTGACAGTTCGAAGAGCAAGGTTAAGAGGTACAGGTTCTGCTCCCGAGATATTCTAAAATATAAAACAAGCATTTCAAAGTAAAGATAAAGCATCTGATTACAGATAATAAGGTTTTGGTTGTGTAAAATAGATTTAAAGACTAAAAAGTAGAAAATAATTTATAAATAAATATACTTTTTAATAATGCCACATTTTTTAACGCACTAAAAAGTAGAAAATAATTTGTAAATAAAAATACTTTTTAAAAAGATTTAGAAATATAATGAGCCTATATTATACAACAAATAAATAGTAATTTTTGTTTAAATAAATGTGCTGCAAAGTGAAAATATTTCAAAATATTTGGTTTTAGAATTGCATTTTCATTAATAGTTGTAATTAAATTTAAGGATTGTATAAAAATTAAACTTTATATTACTTTGAAAAGTCAAATTAAAAAGTTTCATTACATAATGAAGGATGGATTATTCAGTTGCGTGCAAAGTAACATGTCGCCACGCCTGCCTAAAATTAATTCTGGAGGGATGTAATCAAATAGCCAGTAGCCAGTATAATATGATCATGAAATTGTGAAACATTACGCGGTGTATTCTTTGGGTATTATAAGCACTGAAGTAATGGATCATATTTCAGAAGACATGTTTCAAGGAGCAGACCTCACTTTGACCAACGAGCAAACCAATAAACAATTAACCTACGGAGATCAACTCAAAAGGGTTAGGAAACGTCTACACAGTACTGAATCACACATTACTGAAACCAATGACATGTTTTCAGGGTTATCAGAAAAGGTTAGCGATTTAAAAAAGGTTCTTCAGGAAATGAAAACTAATGAAGGAGAGGTAAAATCATATGATAAACAATCGTATCTCACTGATATATTCAACGGCCTCTTCGATGGAAAAGGAACGTCTAAGTTGCACACTTTGATCAACATTTTGATCCACGCAATAGCACTCGCTGTCAGCGCAGTTTATATACTGGATGCATGTAACAATTGGCAAAACTCTCTTATTGTGCAAAGCATCGTGTATAAGAAGGTTGAAGACATACCTTTCCCTGCAATCACCATCTGTGAGCCAATGTTTCTACGAGACGACTTCAACCGATTTGAGATCTTAAAGCGATGCATGTCAGTTGAAAATAGAACCTGGTTGTGTAGTATGGAAGAGCTCAACATGTTAGCGATTTCAGTTGATTTAAGACCAATCGAGCACGATTTATTGTCAATGAACAAAAGCGATCGTGACTATTTCAAAAGACTTTTCTTCCATTTTTTTATGAGTTCAGAAGAAATCAAGTTTATGAGCTTAAATCGTACATACACATTAACTAATTATGGAAAATTCAGTGCAAGAGAGTATCTTGACTATATTGAAAAACTTGGCCAAGAACGAGTGAAAAGAATTAAAATATTGAATTCTAACTTAACTGATGGTCATCGTTCGATTGTTCTACGAAATGGTTCCAGAGCGCAAACTATATTAATAGCACCGGTAGGCCAACATGCTGAAGCAAACAGTATCCATGTATGTAAAACATATAATACTGTAACTAAAGGGTTTCAAATAAATAGAAATTGTTCCAACAGTGATGGGAAATCTACTGCATGTAGTCCTGAAAATATACTTGACAGTGAATGCAAAAAGATTCTACTGTTCACTGATGATCATTTAGAGGTAGAATTAGATGACGACAACCCAGGAGACTTTCAATCCTTTGAGTCACTTGAAGACGATGATGCAGAAACACAAAATATTCGAATCAATAAGATGTTTTTTGAAAATTATTTATTATTCGTCCATCAAGGTTTTGATTACCCAGCAATCACAGCATTGAAACATGAAATAATTCAGAAACACAGTTCGATGATTGTGTCCATAAACCCGTCTGTAACTGGTGTAAGGAATGATCTCATAGATGTCAGTGAAACAAAACGAAACTGTATATTTTCATTTGAGAAAAAACTGTCGCTATTTGAGTTTTACACTTACAACAACTGCTTATTTGAGTGTCAAATAAATTGTTCATTGGCAAATTGTGGGTGTATACCTCACCAATTGGCAATTATAAACAGCTCCTTTGATATTTGTAGTAACAAAAATGCACTTACATGTATCTCCTTGAACAAGTTTGTATACTGGCACGAGTTAAAACACAAGAAATGTCAATGTGATTGTCCGTCAGATTGTGTGTCAGTTAAATATGATTATCTCTTGGAGCTCTTCAAAATACAAACACACAAAAAAACTAAAATCCAGTTTGTCTACAAGGAAGCTAACAGTCAATCTATAATACGATATCGAATGACGAGTTTGAGTGAGGTAGTGGCTTACAGTTTGGGCATTTTGGGAGTGTTCAATGGATTCAGCGTAAAGATTATATGGGATATTTTGTATTGGTTGACTTTAGGCCTTTGGTCCTCAATCAAAAATACATTACACCAATCTACCGTTTGAGCCCAAAGGCAGATAATGTATATTTGCCAACTTAATAAAACTTCTAATTAGAACCAAAGTGTTTATCTATGGGTACATTCATTGACCAGGCCTATACAATTGCTGAGTCCTGCTGAGTAGGACAACTGTACAAACAGCAGATAGCCAATAGTGAAATTTGCTGCAACCTAGGAGTCAAGGTCAGAACTATTACTCATTAGGGTTCGCTCATGCCTACTTTTTTACTTATCCTTACTGTTTTTTTATATCCACCAAAAACTTGTATTAAAAGAAATAGGAATAGCTTGTTCCGTAATGTAGGCTGGGCATGGTGGTATGAAAATGTCCAATTTTACTTTTCCCCCCTTTAAAATAATAGGCCTATATGAGAAATGTATTTGTTTTTGTCACATTTTTTTTGAGTTAGAGTGGTAATGTACGTTTGGGACCCCTTTAACCCCAAAAAAATTGTTTTTGAAGTGAATGTAATTCAAAGTTTTAAGTGGACAGAGCTACAGACTAACTGTGGTCCAATTTCAATGAAATTCTGTATTACTAGTTCATAGTATCTTTAGGCAATTTTACATTTTTTTTATGTTGATTTTTAATTGAGATCCACAAAATTAAATAAAAATATGATTTTTATAATAAGTATCTTATAGTCCTCTTAACCTTGAGAAAAATTGCAAATTGCAAAAGTGCTGTAAAAAATACAATTCATAAGTTAATGCAATTTTTTTATCAACCCTGCATACAAAGTGAACTTCCATGTGCCTGATTGGATTTTCACTAAAATATTTCTTTACACATGCTAGTTTCATTCCCTATTTTAAAATTATTTGGTTTAATGAGTAGCCTACTTAGGTTTGGTACAACAGGGAAGGTCATTATTGTTCAGTCAAATTTGATCAAAATACATCATTAAGAAACAAACTACAACAGTTGACTTAACTTATTCCCCATAAAATAACATAGGAATTTTAAATGTTTATTTTTCAACTTTCTCTGTATAACCATCCAAGCTAACTCTAGAAGTTAATCAAACGCAAGGGGTATAAACCCTAAATGAAATTCACTTTTTCGTTATCATTTGTCCCTCCGCTAGATCATAAGCTTTAAGCCCTTATTGTATTAAATACATGTATAAGACTGTGTAACATTTCTCTAGATGCTGTAGTACTGATGGAGTTGATTAATTTTAATTGTATTGCTATTGTTTTGCTATTTCTAAATTTAACAAAGTGTGTTATTGAAAGAAGATGGCATATTTGTCTTATTTTACTTTATTATAGGTAAAACCACTGACTTCTTGATTTTAAACTACTCATCCCATCTGCCCTATTTGGACCAGCTCTCGCATCTTAAGTGCTACAATCAAAAATATTTGACACTTGTAGAATGATTTTTAAACTATAATTTTTTCTATGCTCAATGATAATACAACCTTATACAGTACACTACTTTATTCCAACAAAATCACTCAATAAACCTATTAAACTGAAAGTCAGTACCAAAAACCTTACAAGAGGAATAAATAAAACATTTGAATGATATATCCATAAAAACTTTTATTGGAGGAAAGTGGCTACACAATAAATATTGTTAAAGGCTGGTAAACAAGGTACACCTTAAACTTATCACAAACTGTACATTATTTGTATAGAGATAATTATAATAGAGCAGTAATGTTACCTTTTTGATATTTACATAATTTGATGTCTTAACTCGCAACCAAGATCAAAATTGTTTTTGCTTTCACACTGTTTAGGCTAGATATCCAAACACACCTAAAACATAGAAAAAATAAATTAGTATTTTAAAATGAAGCAGAGGCATTATCATGTTCTAGCACGGTATTTTTGGTTTGTATATACAGTAGACTCCCTCTCATCCGGACACCTTTTAACCGGACATCGGTTTAACCGGATTACAGTCAACGGAAATGACATCTCTTTAACACAATTATTATCGGCACATTGGTTTAACCGGACTAGATCGGCAGGAAGTGTGCGGTACTGTAACGATTGTTCTCTTAGGAAAGATTTGAGACCAGTGATCACATGTCTAAATACAATGCTCTCCTAAATTTAAGTCGAATATCACCGTAAACGGTCCATTTTAATGAATTTTTGGGGACGTCGGCTTAACCGGAAAAACCGTTATCCGGACTGGCCTCGGTCCCGATGAGTCCGGATAAGAGGGAGTCTACTGTAGTAACCTACAGAAATTAATAAAGATGATATACTTATCAAAATGAAATGTTATATCACAAACAATGTAGCTGTGTTAAAAATTGATATTTGGTATCACTCGATTAGGTAGGCTATCTATCAGCTGCACAGAAAACTTATATTTTGAGGGTCAAAAATGGGAAAAAATTTCCACCCCATAAAACACCCTTAATTTCTCTAGTCTGGTTGTGCTTGTTTGCAAAATCATTTAAACAATTATAAGTTTACCGTTTTTGTTTGTACCAAATTTCATCAAAATCAGATGATTTTTACTCAAGTTATCATATTTAACAAACTATGTTTTTAGAATTAAAGAAAAAAGGATTTATCGCTTCCGGGTCTTAACATGAGATCTACAGCAATAACTCATCGACTATATGGGGAAATTTACTGAGACAGACAGATTCAATCAAATTAAAACCAACCAACAAACGCAGGTCTACAGTGGTCTACATGTCTACACAATGCAATGTTTTCCTTTTCGTTTGTTAGAAGAAACATGCAACTCATTTAAATTTGTATACATAGTTTTTAAGAATTAAAGTTCACTCAAATTACACTTTGTGCAATAAAGATTTAGAAATCCCTGTAATGACCTTAAATAAACAAACAGCAAGGGCTTACATCAGAGCCGTGGCTTCTTCGGAAGTGAACCCACAGCCGAAATGACAGTTCCCTTGGTGCCAGTGGCGGATGTGGTGAGGTACGTTTGCTGAGAGAGAGATATCGGTTTAACCGACATCGAAGACCCAGACAGTCCCACTTGGTCCCATTTTGACTTGCGTCTTTTAGCGTCGTCTTCAGCTCCAGATCCGGGATTGCTGCTGCCACCAGGCCTTTTGGCTGTACCCACGACAAACTCCACCTGGTGGGCAAGGAGTAGTTGAATGAAAAGGAAAGTGACCAAAGGAATAAAAAGGCTAGGCCTATAAAAGATAATTCAAAAGTTGAAACGCAAATAAGAAATTGGCTATTGTAAAAGCAGGAGAATTGTCAATACAAACTTATAGGCTACAACTACAACTTGCAGTACCTATACTAATAATTGTATAGACACCAATGTAACAAATCAATACTAGGAGTACAATGCTGCTGTTGCCTGCTTTTATTGAGCGGAGCTAGCATATTAATCCAATACTTTTCCAAAGTCAATGCAACATCTGTTTATCGTAAAATGGTACACTGATTCTTTAGGCATTAAATAGGAAAACTAAGTTGTTTTTATTCTGATCGGACTCTCGGGCTCCGCCCCAGTGGCTCTGGAGTTTCCCATGTTAACCTTATGAGTACTCATATTTAAAGAGAATTAATGAATCTTAACAGCTGTTTCAATTAAACAAGTTGGTTCTGTTCTATGATGTGCAATAGCATTAAAGTTACAAGGATTACCAACAGGGTGCAGCACTATTATTTTTTTTTAATTTATGACAACAGCTAATTTGCAACCAAAAGGTGAGTGAGCGTAGCGAACAAACTTCAACCTGGAGGCGAGTTAGCGTAGCGAACGAGCTAACCTGAAGACAAGTGAGCGCAGCGAACGAGCTCCAATCTAAAGGTGATAGAGCGTAGCAAACGAACTTCAACCAGGACGTGGTTGAGCCATGCGAACGAGCTCACTTATGAAGTAAAACGGGGCAAAGCCCGCGGATACAGCTAGTATATATTAGATGTGAAGCCGTTTTTTGTTAACGCAACTCCTCCCTTATTTGTGGACCAATTTCAACGTTTAAGGTGTCAAAAGATTCGTCTCAACATGTAGTTTTGCAATAAGGTTTTAGAATTTTGAAATTCCTACTCTTAAGGGCATGAGACCCTCTCAAAGGTTGGATTTTCCCTATAAGAAATACATAGAACAAATTTAAAAACAAAAAACAGCTGTTTATAAAAAGAAACTCCTTAGCTTTTTGGGAGTAAATATTAATGTTTCTAATATTGAGTAGGTTAAGACCAAGTTAAACCGGTAATCAGTTTTGTAGGAAGAACAGAAAATACCCCAAGTTCAAAGAAGAAATATTGAAAATGTGAGTAGGAGACAATTAATAGATATCTTATGTGTATTAGGAGAGTAGAAATACAGAGGTCTGGTCTAACTGACACCCATCCAGATACACATTCACTTGGTGATATGAATAATATTTGCCAGTTCTGCTATACATAGATGGTTCTGCTATGCAATTCACTTTGGAAGTGAAAAAATATACGAAGCGCATAGTGTTGTCACGGTGGTAAAGTAAACTTGCCCAATGTCAGATCAAATGAATGCATGTAAGAAATGTTTACTTCTGACACTGACAAAACCAGATATTTAATTTAGTATAAACTATATTAATGCTTTGACTATGATTAGTTCAAGTAGTAAGATTAAACCAAATCTTGGCGGACCTTATGTTTTTATTGTAAACTTTTGTATTACTCGTTCCACTTCAATTAAGAAAAAACGCAAATGGATTGTTCACTTCTAGGTTATGTTGCCAGTTCCTCGGAAAAACATACAAGGTTTATTGACTGAATTTACCAACACAATCCAGACATTTCAAGTCAAAAATAAGAAGTTTCAACAACTCATTTGCTATTGAAAGTTTTAGTGGCAATATTAGACCAAACATAAGTGAAGGAATTAGTGTTTATGTATTCAACGATCGAGTTGTTAGGGTAAAGTTTATTTTTATGATTTAGGAAAGGCAAATAATATACGCTGTTCAAAAAGAGAATACAAAAATTGCTATCCAAATCGTATAGCTACAAGGGTTATCCAACCTATTTCGACAAATGAATCCATACTTTCAAAATGTTGGAACAGGTATTTATAGAAACTCCACTGAAAAACGTGAGACTGACAGACAAAACGTTAAAATACGTTAACCAACTTTCAATGGTGTTGCTGCTTTAGCCTATTCAAAGCAGATTATGACAGTCCAGTTGGCAAAAAAAGGAGCACATGAAATGGTTGATCACCTCACTTTTCAGGGTTCTCCACGAATAAAATTTGTTTGATTAGGGGGATGTCTCAAATCAAAGAAATAAAATGACCCAACATAAATTACTAAACACAGGTCATCAGTAGGCCTAAGGCAACAGTTTTCTTCTTCTCAATGCTGGAAAAACTTTGTTGCAACATGTTAACTCGAATTGAAGCAGATCGTTTAGCATTCATTAGAAGTTATTAATTAAAACTGAGAGCAGAAATAATGTAGATGAACCTTGAAGACGCAAACAGAGATATTTAAAATTAGTTTCTAACAAGTGTTTAAACAACTCTAAGATGTAGCTACAATTACTCAAATTTAAGCATAAAGTTTTCTTTGGCGTTATGTTTCATACTATGCGGCTCATTGAGCCGCACGGGATCTCTAGTTATTCAATAAACTGTGATGTAAATTATTTTGAACTATATTGTTTTAATGATTTTTCTATGTTAATTGTTCTTAACGATTTTATTGTTGGACTGTTATCAATTGTATTTGATCCTAAAGGAAATGATAATACAGATTATGATAGTTTATTGATGTTTTTTAAACCAAGTGGTTGGGTTGAGGAGTTAGGTTAGGTTATAAGATGTAGTAGGCTAGTCATAAAAAAGTAGCAGTCATAGATTGATATACGTTAAAATTGACAATATTCACCAATAGTTTTGGTTTGATATTTTTTTTTTTAATGGAGTCATATATAAAAGTTTCACCAAAATATGTTCTACTCACTTTAGTTTTCTCTTTCCTCTCCTTGTCCCTTCTATCCATTTCAGTCTTTTGAACTTTTGCTAGTTCCTCATAATACGACTCTGGTCCCCACCTAATAGGATCGTAGATCTCTGGCGGATAGTTTGTGCCGAATTCATTTATACTACAGAACTGTATCAATTTTTCATAGATACTCGGATTTCTAAAGTCTTTTCTCTGCTGAATTATTTTGTTCATGTCCAGTCCATTGTTCACCATCTTCTCGTGAAATCTGGTGATTTTCTCTTGAAGCTCGTTTGAACATCGTCCCTGCGGTTCAGGTGGTAACTGAACATCATTAGGATCCACGGGAATCTCTTCTTGAACCACTTGCTTTTCTGATTCCTCCTCCAATTCATCTTCTGATTTTTCCAAATCATCATTGTACGAGACTAATTTTGAATATTTTGTCGGTTTAGAAATGTTGTCGACAATTAAGGTAGGTAAAGGAGGGGTGTGCGATTCGTCAATATCTTTGGAAGAATGATCACTTAAGTTAGGGTCTCGTTCTTCATTTTCGTCTTCATTCTCAGAGTCAGTGTAGGTTGCAGTCAATGATGCTAAAGCAACACTTTGTGAGTTGGCCATTGTCTATTAGCAGACCTGAAATAGTAAACAAACGTAATTAACACCATTAAGTTTCAATTATGTAACTTACAAAAAAATCTTTGACATTCCTTCAGGGCTGTCTCAGTGGCCTTCAAAGTTCCCATGTTATTCTTAGGGAGAAAAAGTTTTTTTACATTTGAACAGATCAATACTTTACACTAATATTTGAAACAGCTGGTTATACTAAAATTGAAATTAATGGAGACATACTATTAAGGATTTATTAGATTTGTTGAAAATATCAAAACTTGCTCTGTTTTTGTGGTTTAAACATTCGTGTTTCACTGCAAAACACGTTTTTTAAGGTACACGATTTTAAAAGTAAACTTACAACACAGCAGTTAACTTACCGGTACATACACTATTTGTTGTGATTTTTAAGATATTTGTTTTACTGAAACCAAATAACAGGATATTACTATCCACTAAAGTTACACCACGAACACCAACGGCATTCCACCGTATTGTTGTGTTAAGTAATGGTATTCCGGGCCCCCACAACCCGGTGACGTCACTGCTGGACGTGTATCATTTGCGTTGTTAAAAACAAAGGCAAAACTTAGTAGGTAGGCCTAGCCTATAATTATTTATTAACCCTTAGAGTGCCAGGCGATAAATAAAAGTAACGCTCAAAAAATGCCGATGATTTTTCCCGAAGGTCGCGCTAAAAATGCCGAGCGCGATCTGGCGATTTTTAGGTTAAAATTTCGTAAAAATCGAATTTTCGATATTTCGACCAACGAAAATCGATGTATCGCATCTAGTAACTTTTGACTCAATGTTAATATATGGGTTAAAAGAATCCGAGTATCCATTCGGTTGCTATGACAACTGTTCGATCATTACGAAACGTCCGGTCAGCCGGACGTTGGCACTTTTGGCTCGTTTTAAAAACGTCCGGTTCCCCGGACGTTGGCACTCAAAGGGTTAAATTTTGAATTTTTGTGTAGCCTAGGTGAAGTTAGGCTGCACTTTACTTTAGGTCCTACACTCATTCAAATGAAAATATATCGATCGATATATCGTTTAGTTAGTTAGGTAAGGTTAACCTAACCTAACCAACCAAACGATATATCGAATGAAACAATCGAATAATCAGTATTTTCATTTGGTTGTTTGTGTAGGACCTAAAGTAAAGTGCAGCCCTAGGCTACTTATTGATGACAACAATATGTTTTTCCCATTTTCCGGGAAAAAGGGACGTTTCCGCAAAAAATGATAACTTATCATTTTTTGAATCAGCACTAAAAAACAAACATTTTGGGAAAAAATTTTTTTTTTAGAACGTTGACTGGAGGTCGATAGTTTTACCATATCGATTGAAACTATCGATTCGATTAGTAAACCTTCATGCGATTTTTTCACCATCAGCAGGTTTGGTTGGTTAGATTAGGTTATGATAGTTTAATTTTATAATAGATATATTTAAAAATATCGATTAGGCTATTAATCAATATTTCCAATTCGATAGGCTAGTTTCAATCAATATTAGCATAGCCCAGTTAAGAAACTGTAATTTACCCTCTTGTTTCAAAACTAGTCTAGTCACCCGAGACTGAATTATAGTCTACTACGTAAGGTATGTAACCTTAGACTCACTCAATTCAAGGCGTATAAAAGATTTTTATAGCCTTGCACTCAATTGATATATCCTAGCCTAGGCCTAGTCTCTAACTAAACAAACCTTAGTTGAATAACTTACAAATTCGAAGACGAAATGAGCAAGAAGTCTACCAAATAACTTTATACTGGTCAAGTTAAGAAATATTCCAAAATAATGTAGAAAATATAGGGTTTTTTTACACCATTTTCATAACCTATTCTCCAACCAAGTCAACAAAACCAACGCTATGGTATAGATAGGCTAGTTTACTAGTTTTTAGTTTGGTTGGTTTGGTTTGGTCATTGAATGTTTGACATTGGATTAGTGTTTGGTATCGATATCCGATATATCGGAAATATCGATATTTTGGTTCCGATATATCGATATTTTTATATCGATATTAGACTTCCGATATTATCGGGGTATCGATATTTTACTTCGATATTATCGTTAGAATTGATTTTAGCAAATTTTCAAAGAATAATGCAAGAATAAAATACAGTTTAATCTTTTCTGGACTTGTTTAGCAGTTATTAAATATTATTAATAACAAATTTATTTGTATACACCAACTATTTCATGTATCTAGTTCTAGTTAAAAATATATTTTTAATCTGGTTGCCTCTGCCTGCATTTGAATAGTGAGTTGGCACGGTTGGCAGAAGTGGAGTGCCAAAATGACGTGACGGCAGTGAAAACCAATCAAAACCATTAAATTTTCATTTGTTGTATATTTTTTTGTACACAAGCCTAAAAAATTACAAATTGTAAACAATTTAACGTCATATGTATGCAGCTAACTGTTCATGGTGGTACTTTCCTGTTAAAGGAAATTTTCACTGAGCTATAAGCTCAGTGGGAATATCCATTATTATCGATTATTTCTTTTTGAATATCGATATTTTTTTCTATCTTATATATTGATTATAACAAATTAAAACATATCAGCTGACAACTTCGATAAGGCTAAATAAATATTGTTCAGTATTTACAAAGGTACTTTCCCTGCTAAAGGGACATTTTTATATCAATGATTTCTTTGATGACATATCGATATTTTTTTACCAAACCGTCTGTATATATTCCTTTGTTTTAATATCTTCAAACGCATTTAAAAACAAATTAAGAACTAACCTTGTTTAGGCAAAAATAATAGCCTATATCTGGATTAGGAAAAGAAACTATTCAACATAACATAATCAAAACCAACCAAACTTACTGTAGGCTAAGTTACCGTTTCAAAATTCCGTTTGATTACAGAAAATGCATATGGGGAATAACTTAGGCTAGCAAACGAAATTTTGAAATAATACAGCAAGCTTGGTTGGTTAGGATAGTTTAGAATAGTTTCATTTCAATATTATTTTAAATTGTTTGTTAAGGTAATTTCCTGTTAAAGGGATGCATTGCAATAGCATTCCAATTCCATTAATTTTTAACGATATTTTTCCGATGTATCGATATTTTTGGTCCAATATTATCGGAATATCGATATTGATGCTCCGATATTATCGTCGATATAAATATCGATATTTTCTTTCGATATCCCAACACTACATTGGATCGGGATATAGTTGGAAATTGGAATGGAATTGGAAAGGAATCATGGTTTAAGGAATGATGTATCCGAATCCTGGTTTCCTAGTCTGTTTTTTTTCTCATTGCCTAGAAGGTTGTCTCAGAATTTTTATTCATGAGACTACGATGTTCTCAGTGCTTGTCATTAACAATAGTGTTCGTTTTCATGAGATCAATGCCATTTCATCTTATTTTTTTTTTAGAAAACATAGAATGCAGTCTATTGGTTTGCATGTTAAGTGGTGTTTGGTATTCTAATGATTTGAATGATTTTTTTTTATGAAAGATTCAGGTGATTCTGCTGGGGGGGCGATCAAGCAATGTCCTAACTCGAAAGAAGGTAGCCATGCAAAAATATAATGCATATTTTAGTTCTCATATTCTTATGAACAGATTGTAAAATAAATTCTGAAACAAAAAAAAATAAAAATATGATGAAATTTTCATTTGATGACGTGCTGTCAAAATAGCAAAGTGAGACTATCGGAAATACAATGAAATACGCCAGCTTGAGAAATTGATGGAGAATATATCCCTGGCAAAATAAAACAAAATAATCCCGCCACAGTAAACCTGCAGACTAAACGAATTTCCATTTTTGTGGTTGGATATTCACTAAAATAATCAATTACCCTCTTAAAGTTTTCATATATTTACATGTATTTTATACTGTACATGTAAATATATGAAATGAATATGAATGAAATATGAATTGAATGTCATATTAATGCCCTACCTATAATATTCTCAGGTTTGCTGCTACAGTAAAAGGTGGTAAAGTATATTTTATTGAAAAGTTAATAGATATAGTGAGAAATAAAAAATTTACCAAATATTCTTAAACTACACCAGTTTATTTATTCTCCTTTCGAAAAACATAGAAGTTAAAAATCAACCTTTAAGCAAATTTCTCATATAAGGAATTAATTATTGCAGTAATACTCATGGTAAGACCTGGACCGGGGCGGACTTTTTCGTTTTGAGGTCCATAGAGGCTCCTCCGTTAATAATGGACGGATTTTTACAAACAATGTGCCAACACTAAGTATTTTTTGTGTAGACGCCCCCTTTCACCAAATCATGAATCATGTAATAAAAATCCTCGGGCTTTGCCCCACAGGCCATCAAAATCCCAATGTATTTCTTATGAAGAAAAGATTTTGAGACGAATAATTTGTATTAATTATAGCTGTTCATAGTAAACACATGATACACACAAGAGCGTTCGTTTTCAGAGTGAGTTCGTTTTCAGTTTTGATAACTGTAAGGAGTGATTGATTATACTAAATTTAGTACTACTCAATTTCGACAACGATATCGGTCCTTTTCTCGGCTACACTTAATGCTGAAACTGGAAAGATAAACAACATAATTATGCGAATGATACTGGGAAATGAGAATGTTAGCAACAAGTTTCAATTCAAATACTAACCTATTTAATACATTTTTATTGATTCCGAGCAAACAACGGTCTCCCAGTACTTTTGGGCTAGGTGGCGTCCCCATCTCAATCGGTTTTGGTAATATAATATATAATCATACACATAATATGTCCCTAACATTCTAAACAGCCCTACAGCAAGGCCCCATACAGTCACAGCAATACAAATAAAGGAAAGAGTGGTGTAGAAATGAACGAATTACAAAGCAAGCCTTTCCGAACGCCTGGTTTGGCGAGGTAACCTAACCTAACCTCTCCAGACCGGACGAAGCTGGTCACGTGTTTACACTCCGGTCCAACCTCGTGATTGAACCGGTTCACCGGGGATTCGCCAAGGGAACGGGAACTGGTTTAGTTAATGTTTGCAAACTCAACTTTCGCGAGGCCCCGCGCGCCGTGCGTCACAAATGGCATTGCCCTCGCAGTGAACAACAACTTAACATAATATGATAGGTTACGTACCTTTTTTGTCCGTCTGGTACAATGAGCCATTTTCAAGCCCTCATCATACATACACAAGTCAACACACACATAAATATATATATATACTAGCTGTGTACCCGTTCTACGCACGGGGATCTTATAATATTCAGTTGAAACCTTCTTATATAAAGAACAGCAGTTGGTTTGCATATTTTAAGATATGCTGGCCAAACTATTATACATAGCTTCATTTTATGTTGTTTTTTGTTGTTCCGGATCGGTATGACAATCAATAAAAGGTTAAATTACCTCTGTGTCTGCCGGTCGATCCTATAACGGTAGGCTTACTTTTATTTTTACTATCTGATCTCGTTTGCATGGCTCAATCACGTCCTGGTTGAAGTTCGTTCGCTACGCTCACTCACCTGTATGTTGGAGCTCGTTCGCTGCGCTCACTTTCCTTCAGGTTAGCTCGTTCGCTACGCTCACTTGCCTTCAGGTTAGCTCGTTCGCTACGCTCACTCGCCTCCAGGTTGCAAATTAGCTGTTGTCATAAATGTAAAAGAAATAATAGTGCTAGTGCTGCACCCTGTTGGTAATCCTTGTAACTTTAATGCTATTGAACATCACAGAACAGAACCAACTTGTTTAATTGAAACAGCTGTTAAGATTCAATAATTTCATTTCTCATAAGGTTAACATGGGCTTCCAGAAATTCCACGTCAAAAATCGACAAAAACTTGATTTTCAAGGGTTTACTGTTAAATATCTAACTGTCTCATATTCGATGAAATACGTCTAAAACCATCTCATATATGTATAGTATTTGGAAAATAAGTTTCAGGCGGGACAGTGCTATAGTTATTGAGGAGTAGTTGTAATAAAGTGCGTATTTTAGCGTTACCAAGAGAATGACAGATAGACAGACAGACAGACAGACAGACAGACAGACAGAAATTGAGATAAGGTTTGATTCGGTTTCTCTGACCTATGAAATGTAAAAATAACCAAAAAGTTCATTATTCTAAGCAATGTACAGACAAAACTCTAATTTTATTTATATAGATATATTAAATTCCATTTTGTAGCCCCTGAACTGCTTAGTATAAACTAAATTAAAACATACCTCGTCTTGCAGTTCAAATAAATAGTGTCTTTTTCAATCCACTACATGTTTCGCCATGTTGGCATTTTCAAGTGGGTAAACAGAAACATTGAGACTTGAAACATTATAATATCCGAATTGGACTCGTCAAATTGTAGAAATTTACATTGAAACACAAAACTGTACATACATTTGACACGTACGAACGAAACATTATCATGTAGGCCTACAACACTTATTGTAACCCGGGTTACAATAAGTGTTGTAGGCCTACATGATAATGTTTCGTTCGTACGTGTCAAATGTATGTACAGTTTTGTGTTTCAATGTAAATTTCTACAATTTGACGAGTCCAATTCGGATATTATAATGTTTCAAGTCTCAATGTTTCTGTTTACCCACTTGAAAATGCCAACATGGCGAAACATGTAGTGGATTGAAAAAGACACTATTTATTTGAACTGCAAGACGAGGTATGTTTTAATTTAGTTTATAGATATATGTATCAATGAATACTTCTGTCGGCGTTATAACCTTTCATTTCCACAGACAGTTATGCAACTAAACATTGTACCAAACACTAATTGCAGCACGCAACAATTAAATTGGCCTGAACAGCTGATTAGTTGAAGTTCGAATCATTACAATTTTACTCATTTTCTCTCAATTGCTTAACCTCATTGGTCCGTTACCTGAGTTGTTGTAAGTAAA